TTCCTGCTCCCCAAGGGTAATGAACAGGGTCTAGAATTCGACCTTGTTGTTGCCGTGACTGATGGCGCAGCCGACGCAGCATTGGATGGCCTCCACGAAAATACCGAATTCAACCACTATGGTGCTCATGGCAAATACCCTGATAATCGCCCACATGGCTATCCTCTGGATCGTAAGGTTCCCGATGAACGTGTATTCGAAGATCTTCCCAACTTCGGCCACATCCAAGTTAAGGTCTTCAATCATGGTGAACATATCCATCACCATTAACTTGCAATATGAACATTCGCCACGAATAAATAGTACCATTCTAGTGATAACAGTTATTTGACCATGATGAAAAGCAAATAAAATGTGATTGTCAAGACGCTGTGTTTTTCTTACATCTTTTGATAAGGTGATGATTAAAAGCAGTTTGAATAAAGATACATCAGAAGTGGTATTCACGAAAGTTCTCTAAAGTCTCAGTTGGAAAACTTTCACATATTTTGTTTGAGACGTTTTCTGAGAATAGTTTCAACAAGTTTTTCTCAGCAGATAAACTGATTTTTATATCATTAAATGAACCTATATATGTCATGCATTGTATTATTATGTATATATAATTTTACACTAATCACTAGAACCCGATATACATGCGCTTGGCACTCGTCTCCATTTATGTGCATTGTTCGTTGTGTCTCAAGGAACCCTCAACTTATTTCCAGCTTCACAAATCCCTTAAACGCTTGCAAATGGTCGTTTCCTTGGGGAGGGGTCTGCTGTAGTGTGCATAGTTAAAAAAAAAAAAAAAAAAAAAAAAAAAAAAAAGATGATTAACATAAAAAAATAATTTAAACGTCTGGATACTATGGCTTTGCTTGTTATGTTCGATCCATCCCAAGATGACGACTACATATGGGCGATTTGTGAATATGGAGCACCACTCAGGCATCCGTCCATTACAACTTTAAAAAATAAATGAGAACTTATTACACAATGCACTTTACTGCTTTCATCCCAAGAGGGAGAGGATTCTCGTCGCGGTGAGAAAGCTGCGGGCTATAGAGAAGGGAAAGCCCACCTGGAGAATCTCACCTGCACTGCTTCATTTTTTTCCTTTGTTTTTATTGGTTTTTGTTTTGTTTAAACGACCACCTAAAAATAAAATTAATTGCAAAAAGGAAAACTCATAATCTAATAATTACTTTTCTCTCTCTTTCTCTCTGAAAATAATTAGGGATATTATACGCTATATTTTACATTGAAGATTTTATGAAATTATGTTTTTTGATTTACACCCTACATGTTTTTTCTTCTTTTATTTCATGAAAATTTTATTCATCATTTGATACACAGAACTTTGAAAATATTTATATACATACATACAATGTACATATATATATATATATATATATATATATATATATATATATATATATATATATATATATATATATATATATATATATATGCACTCTATGGAAGATGGAATAAAGCATTAAGCCAGTGGTGTACGGTGGTCCGGGGCGGCCGTCTTGCATTCACGTGCATTGGCGATCAGAGAGGTTATAATATTTATTCATATGCACATATATATACGTACACGTTTGTCCATTACATTATCTATCTATCTATCTATATGTATATACATATATATATATATATATATATATATATATATATATATATATATATATATATATAGTATATATATATACCGTAATAGCCATGTATTGGCATATCATAGTGGCGCCGTGTGTGTGTGTGTGTGTGTGTGTGTGTGTGTGTGTGTGTTTATCTATATATATGTACTGTGTGTGTGTGCATATATATACATATACATCAATAATCATAGACACATACGCACATACATATCTATGTGTGTGAGTGTCTGTGTGGAAGTTTGTGTATATGTGTGTTTATTAGTCTGTTTATATATCCGAGGATAATTGCATAAGTACATACACACATACATACATGAATATATACGTACATATACATAAATCGCTGATAATCGCCCACTTAAAAAAAAAAAAAAAAAAAAAAAAAAAAAAAAAAAAAAAAAAAGCACCGCTATCATATTAGTCATTTCTGGATTTGACCATGAACTGCGAACTGCTATCAAATAAAGAGCGAGGTTTCAGCAATGACCTATGTATTCACCACCACTTTATTAAAATGAAGGAATGTGGAATATGACCATTGCTCCTTTATCATAGGTGAAGATATGAAACCCGATATGAAAATATTTTAATATTAATAAATTGATGCTGCAGTTAAAATCCTCCTCTTCTCTTCAATATTTATGAACATTCCATAAATGTGACGGCTCGTGACTTAATTGCGGTTGCTCAGTGCCAAAGTAGTCTATGCCACTCTCTAACCTTTTTCTTAACGACACTGGAATGTGACATGATTTACTCGCATAACGAGAGTATAAAATACAGAACCAAAGAAAAATGTAATCTTGATCAAGGAGAACATTAAACACATCGTTCATTATATTCTCTAAATTACAAAAATAATAGAACTATATCTGTTAATGGTAGTCCATGACTACATTATATATTTCATTAAACTCCATTAAACTTTTTTTTACTTATTGTTTCTCCCCTGTTTTTATCAGAAATATTGATATTTATATCAATAGAATTTAGCAACCACCAATATTATTGTCAGAATCTTCGATTCTTCATTAATACTTTTCAGTAACTTTTTCATTCCTTGTTATTAGTAAAAGTATGAATATTACTATCGTACATAAGCTTTGTGGTTGTTGGTTATTATCATTTATTATAATATGTATTTTTATTATCATAATCATAATAATAAAAATGATAAGGATAATTGTGATTATTATTATCATTGTCATTATTTCAGTATCATAATTATCCTTTTCATACTCATTATGAATTTCATAATCATTATCATTTTCATAATCATTAGGATTGTCATTATCATTAGAATAATCGTAATTATTATTTTCATTATCATTAGCATCATCACTCTCATCATATGTTAATATTATCATAAGATAAAAATAGTAACAAAAATATCACTATTATTTTTATTATTTAGATAAAGATAATGATGACTATGATGATGATAATCTTAATGCTAATGATGATGATGATGGTGGTGTTGGTGGTGTTGGTGATGATTTTGTTTTTATTAAAATAATAATTATTATTTTTTATTATCAGTGGTATTGCTATTATAATGAGGGAAAGGTAACTGACAAAATCAATGCAATTTAACATTACTGACACCGAGAAAGACTCAACCATAGGTGCCCTAGGAGCACACTGCTGCAGATGTACACATGTGTGTGTGTGTGTGTGTGTGTGGTAAATGAGAGACAGACAGATTTTCCCTTTCTCTTTTTCTGTTTTTCTCCCTCTCCTTCCTTTCTTCTCTTTCACTCTCTCCATTTCTCGTTTCTTTCCTTCTCTTCCTACTTCCTCTATATTCAGTTCCGCCCTCTATCTCACCCTTTTTGTCTCTTCAAATACTGATGTATTGAACGATGTACAGGTACTAGTGACTGGCTAATGCTAATCTCCAGACTTTTTGAAGCAGGTAACGGAGACCTTAGCAGTTATAGGGAGAGTGGAAACGTCGTATATCAGCGACAAGTTCTCTTCATCTACTTAATGTTTTATACATGATTGAAATTAGCAGAAAAAAACTGCCAGGCTTGCAAGCCTGAAGTAATGGCCATGTCTCGAACTGGTGAATCTCTCGAGGCTTTTGGTATTTAACCCTTCCTTTACGGAGCGCCACCCCCTTCACTTTTCCTCTCAAATGTAGAATTTACATTCCCTAATATATCGACTCCAAATGATGCTATTAAAATAAGGTAAAATAGGTCAGTTTGTTCTCAAAATGATTTGATTTGATTGATTGATTTTTTCAAAATATCACATATACAACATATGTCTTGAGTCACATCTTAGAATTTGGTTATTCACCCTCCTGGGAACCACTTAGCTGTTGCCTTGACTTGAAAAAAGCAAACATGCATTTCCTCGCTAAACTGTTCGAATTCGGATGCGTCTCCCTCTAGAAACGCCAAGAAAACTATGATCAGATTTGAACTCAAGATACAGGACACTCAGAATAACCGAAATAAATTATACATATTGTTTCATAACTCGTCACCAAATATTGACTTCGTATTTCAATATAAGCAACACACACACATTGATGAAGCATCTTTAAATCTGTAATGAAGCATATAACGTTGCATGACTTTTGTTTATTGAATAAGTGTTCGGTTCTGACGAAGAGAATGAAAATATATCACTCTAATAAATCCATTAGCCCCTACTAGATGCTGCAGCTACGAGAATTATTTACAAAGGTCTCTTACACTATTTTTGTTTGATGCTCAAAGCATTTAGCATTTTTCGTGTTTCACGAGATATTATTGAAACTTATTGTCTCCAAAGAAGGGGAAATGGCAAAAACCAAACAAACGATTCCAGTATATCGCATTTGAAGAATATCCCAATTAAAATCTAACGAAAACTAATATTACATGTTTTGTTAACAATTATTTGAGGAAAACAAGAGAACAAATTGCTTATTTACTTTTAAAAAATACTAATACACTCGCCGGTGATGTATATTCGACCAATCACACACATCTTTGGGTTTTAGCTCATTCACAAAAATGCAATTTACATTATGTTTATTTCGATTTTTTTTCTAGATGTACAGAAGTGGACCCAGCAAGTGCACTGAAATATAATTCCGCAAATGTACGTGGGGTTATATCATCGAATATTAGAGCATAAATGCAGATTATTTTGTACTGGGCTTCCGCTGTAGACCATCCTTTTTCCAAAGCAGATTTTAATATATTTACTCCAACTCCTCCTGCCAAGATCTCATTATACTCTCTTTGTTTATTTGTAAGATGAAACCCGGAACAACTAAAGCACCACATTGTTTACAAACAGCTGTTTTTACACCTGGCTATCACCCATATTGGTTAGTTTTTTTAATCACCAACC